TTGGGAGTTGGGCGCCGTTCCCGACTGTAAGAGACAGTGCACAAGGAACGTAGTTGGAGAAATAATCTCGGTTGGGGGTGCACGAGGCAGAGGCGCCGGAGTCAACAATCCAATGTTCACGCAGAGCGGGAAAGTCATTTGGACAATAAGTCACTGACATAGGTAGAGGCGAGTCACCGGGGTCGCTTTCACAGTAGCGTAGGTCCGTATGGAGGGCAAAAATGCCTTGTCCGCCAACAACTTGGAATGGAGGATGGGAACGGACACCGTCCACATAACTTGGGGGCAATTGGAGAACTACTTTTATCGGTGTTTCCGACACCGCTGTGATAATATCACTGCGTGTGGCCGAGAAGGCACTGAGTGGGAACAGTGGAAAATCCACTTTGGTTGGGTTCGTGGGAATTTGGAACAGCGGACGTGGTGGATAGAGGGGCAAACGCTCGGTGATAAGTACCTCGGCAGAAGGGACTTCAGCGAAGTCTAAATCACCGGCATCCACTGGAGATGGGTAGTGATCGGAGCTCGCCCGGTGCATCAGTGATGGGAGCGAGGGTAGTAGCCGCAATAAGCAGAGGTTCATGGGGCGGTGATGCAAAAACATCGCAAAGTGGGGCTGAGCCCGGTTGGAACACCTTTGGTAGAACCGATAGTGGGTTGGGGCGCTGGAGGACCCGGTTGAGAGTGGAGGGAGGTACAAAGTGGTGGGATAAGATGTGGGTGTTGGCAAAGCCATTGAGGCGATTGCCTTAATGAATAAATGGACGAACGGCTGCACGAGGAGCAGTGCCAGCCTGGTCATAAAGGCCCCCACGATGAGTGCGGCCGTAGCCTTGGTCGCGTTGTCGATCACAGCTGCGGTCGCGGCTTTTGTCACGGCTGTTACCACGATTGTTGTTCCACCCGCCATTTCCAGGACCACTCGAAGAACTTGGTCCCCATCCATGGTGGCTATTAGAGCCCTGGTTGCCACTAGGGCCATCGCGATCATCGCGGTCATCACGAGGACGTTGGATAGGACGCGACGGAGCGACATAATCGCGTTTGCGCTTCTTCTGGGAGGCAGAGCCATGTTTGTTGAAGACGGCGCGGTCAAAACCAGGACGCATAGTGTTGCGGGCATAGTCCGACTTTAGGGTGGGGCACGCAGGAAGCGTGTGATTGGTAACACCGCAGTAGAAGCAGGACTTGCCGGGGTGATTGATACAATCACGGTGAGCATAGCTCGGGATAGTAAAT